AATGTTGCCCAGTGTCCTGGACGAGGAAGGCGCTCCTCTGACACTGCCTATTGTGTCGTCTGCCCCTCGGACTCATTCGAACCCTGGAGCCTCACACACACAGCCAACAATGAGGGATTGTTTTCACTTTCCTTCTGAAACGTCGGCTCTGTGTGTCGGAGGGAGAAGGCATGATGTCCTGCAGTCTGACCTCAGCGACCGCCGGGGCTCCTCAGCTCCATCCTCCTTCCATCTTTTAGGAGATCCAGAGGAAAAGCTGCAGTTTGCAGCCGTCATTTACCTTCCCTTCCTCCCTTTCCTCCCCACCGTCAGCCGCATCCCTGGGGGCTCCTTCGCCGCGCAGGCCCAGGCGATTTATCGGACAGCTTAGCGGGGAACGGTTAATGCCCTGAGGACTGTTAGTGCAGGTTCTGCTCGTTGACTCCCCTCCCCGGTTCTGGCGTCTTTATTTGACATGTCCTTTAAGTCGTTTAAGGAATGGGGCGTTTCTGCTGAGCGCCTCGGCTCCTTCTGCAAAAGATGGATGGCCCGCGTTCAAAGGTCTGGATGTGTCTCTCTTTATATTCCTCCTCACCCTTTCCTGCTCTCTTCCTTTGCTCTCACCCTTTCACTTGCTGAGCTTTATAACGTGGCATTAGTGTTGTCAGTGGACCAAGCCTGGGATTAGGCTTTGTTTCTCTGTTTTAAGATAATACAATTCCTCCCTAATGCCCAGAATAACAAAGAGAAAATGGAGCAATAAATGAACATAGACTGGGTTTTATCCGACTGCTTCTTTGCCATTTTGAACAGACCACAGACTTCGCTGGCTCTCGTTGCGCATTTTTAACATTCGTATGTTGGAGGCATGAGTCCATGCTCCTTCTCTCCGCACATGGCTAGGTTTCCACACACTTGATGACTAGCGTTGCCTAGGTTGCTGTGCGTGCCAGCCGACCCGATTGCCTTTACCCCTCCCGGTGTGGTGATTTTTTTTTTAGCCCCCGTTTGTGTGTGAAATTGCATTGAATTAGATGCATATTTATGTGTGACGTAAACACATGGAAAACAAATTATTATCCAGCAATTCACTTTAATACAAAATAACACTGAATAAATTAAAAGTATCTTAAACATAAACCTGTCCTGCTTAAATTCAAACTGTAAAAAGTTTCAACATACGTAACTTTGAGGGAGGAACCACTGGAAAAAGTAAGCCGCCTGTGATTGGCTACTTTTCAGAAAATCCCGCCTCTTGAGACTGGACTGTTTTCCTCCTGGCTCCAATAGTAGCGTTAGCGAAGCATCTTTAGGCTATAAAGGTTTCTCATTGACTTAAAAACTATAAGTTATCATTAAATAACTTAGTTTAACAGTCATGAATGTGTTCTGACCGCTTTTTGCTTTAAGTTGATACATGTTAAATATGGAACTTTGTACAAGCACAGCTAATGTTAGCTTCAATGTTGATCTTGAGGAAAGTCAGGCTTGAATGAACTCTGGTTGATAGTTAAACACATTTGTAATCAATTTGCAAAGAACTGTTGAGTGTTTTTACTTTTATATCCAGCATTGCTAACCTTGGTCAGATGATAGCCACCATATCTTAGCACTCATAGCTTAGCACCCATAGCTCCTATGGATTAGCACACATTAGCCCCCATATCATAGCAACCAAAGCTCCTATAGCTTAGCCCCCATGTCTTAGTACTCATAGCTTAGCACCCATAGCCCCCGTAGCTTAGCACTCATAGCTCCTGTAGATTAGCACCCGTAGCCTAATATATAAGGATCTATAGCCCCTATAGTTTAGCCCCCATAGCACCCGTAGCTTAGCCCCCATATCTTAGCACTCATAGCTTAGTACCTATTGCTCCTATAGCTTAGCACTCATAGCCCCCATATCTTAGCACCCATAACTCCTATAGATAAGTACCCATAGTCCTCATATCTTAGCACTCATAGCTCCTATAGCTTAGCACCCATAGCCCAATATCTAAGCATCTATAGCCCCTATAGCTTAGCCCCCATAGCACCCATAGCTTAGCCCCCCCATATCTTAGCACTCATAGCTTGGAACCCATAGCTCCTAAAGCTTAGCATCCATAGCTCTTAAAGCTTAGCATCCATAGCTCCCATAGATGGCTTAGCACCCATAGCTCCTATATCTTAGCACCCATAGCTCCTAAAGCTTAGCATCCATTGCTCCCATAGATGGCTTAGCACCCATAGCTCCCATATCTTAGCACCATTGCTCATATATATTAGCATTAAAAGCTGCTATAGCTTAGCAACCATAGCCCCCATAGATAGCTTAGCACCCATAGCTCCCATATCTTAGCACCCATATCTCCTATAGCTTAGCCTCAGAGCTCTCATATTTTAGCTCCTCTAGCTCCTATAGATTAGCACCGATAGCTCCTATATCTTAGACTCAGAGCTCCCATATTTTAGCTCCCCTAGCTCCTATAGCTTAGCCTCAGAGCTCCCATATTTTAGCACCCATACCTGCTATAGCTTAGCACCCATATCCCCCATAGATTAGCACCAATAGCCCCATAGCTTATCACCCCAACCCAATGCTAGAACCGCTGATAGTGTCCAGGATGGATCTGGGTTTCATGTGTTTACTCCAGATTCTAAACATTGCAGCTGAAACGGACTCATCAGCTCAGTCCTCCAACATATAACCATCCAGTTCTGTAGATATCCAGCCTCGGGTTGCCGCTCCCATCTGATGCACGCTGCATCTGGTGTAGTCGATGTTCTGCATGGCTTGGTAGGAAACGGACAGCCGTCTGAGATATTGGGGCCTCCCAATCGTCTTGGACCAGTCTGCCCATTCTGTTCTAACTGTCCACACCAGTAAGATCCCAGTGGATCAGCAGGTTCTGAGCTACTGAGACCAAAAACCATCTGAGGCTCAGTTTGATCTTCATCAGGTTGTCGTCTCTAATTCCAGCCATCTGATTGGCTGGCAGGAAGCAGGAATGAAATGTGAGTTGGTGAGGCTCTGAGGATCCTCTGCCATCAGAAAACCACATTTAGCTCCTCGGTGAAATGTCAGTTTGCTGATGTGTCAGGTCGCTGTGTATAAAAATTGCCTGCTGTAAAGCGGGAATTGAAAGCTGCCTCTCCCGGCAGCGAGGGTCTGCGGCGGCCCCCCAGAGAGCTTTATTAGTGCGGCTCCTGCTGGCTCTGTGTCCCTGTAATGGTGTGAAGGATGCTTCACAGGCAGAAAATGTAGAATTTGTGGTCCTCATCTGACAGATTTGGCTGTTTCTAAGTTAGCTGCAGCGTTCTGATGGATTCAGACTGTTTTCCTTCTACAGATATTTTTCTCTCCAACCTTGTAGAAGTTGGGATATTTCTCCCTGACATCACAGCCGTCTCACGTCTAATTTATTGCAATTATTTAAAATCACTGTAGGGGAGCAGCTGGTAATTGATGTGTTTTTTCTGTGACCTGGGCTGTTTGAATACGTCTGCTGGAATGACATGCTGAGTGAAAGGAGCCATTAGCCGGTCGGACCTGAGTGAAACTGAAACAGCTCCACTCTCTGTCAGCGGGTTTCACATTTAGTCCAAGAACGATAAAGGAGGACTTTAAAGAAGTGCAAACATGAAGGTCAGATGTGCTTTCTGACCACAGGAAGTCCATAAAAGGTCCCAGGAAGTGGAACCATCAGGAGCTGCTTCCAGAACCATTCCATGTCTAGTTCTTCTTCCCATTTTATCCGGGTGGTTTTCCATTTGACTGAATTCTGAATTAAGGTGGAGATAAAATGTTCACTTAGTTGTTTTACGTGCTGAATGTTTAATGCTTATACTTGGTTTGTAGCACTGATTTAGTCAGAAACTTTGAGCTCTAATCAAACCAAAAATGGCCTCCTGTGGTGGAAACTAATCTGATCTGTGCTCAATCTGAGGAAGACTTTAGATGAAGGTTGGAGACAGTCTGTTATCCTAGACCAGAGGTCATGGATTACGGTGGTCCAGATCTGGACCCAACCTGATTTAAAACATTTGTAAATTACCGCTTGTTATCTGAAAAAATTCAAACTGTCAGTTTGGGTGTTTTATAAAATATGTAAATCAGAAAATTTTCTATATACCAAACTGAAAGATTGTTGTTCTCTACTTCAAAAAACAATTTAGATTTTAAAATGGAAAACATTTTTTTGTTTTTTTTTTCTTGTTTTGTATTTAAGACTTCTACGGAGCCCCTAAAGGGACGTGGAGGGGGAAAATAAACTTTTGCGAGATCCCGCAAAACTCTTGCGAGATCTCGCAAAACTATTGCGGGATCTCGTAAAAGTATTGCGAGATCCTGCAAAAGTATTGTGAGATCCTGCAAAAGTATTGTGGGATCTCGCAAAAGTATTGCGGGATCTCACAAAAGTATTGCGAGATCTCGCAAAAGTATTGTGGGATCTCGCAAAAGTATTGCGGGATCTCACAAAAGTATTGCGATATCTCGCAAAAAATGAACTTTTGCGACATCCCGCAATCTCGTAAAAGTATTGCGAGATCCTGCAAAAGTATTGTGGGATCTCGCAAAAGTATTGCGGGATCTCGCAAAACTAATGCGGGATCTCGTAAAAGTATTGCGAGATCCTGCAAAAGTATTGTGGGATCTCGCAAAAGTATTGCGGGATCTCGCAAAAGTATTGCGAGATCTTGCAAAAAATGAACTTTTGCAACATCCCGCAATACTTTTGCGTGATCTCGCAAAAGTATTGCGGGATCTCGCAAAAGTATTGCGGAATCTCGCAAAAGTTCTTTTTTTTCCCTCCATGTCCCTTTAGGGGCTCCGTAGACTTCAATGTATAACATGGATGCATAAAAACCTCATTTTATTTCAGTGTTTAAAGTAACGGATTATAATTGAAACTGTCTCCAGACCTTAACTGGTTGATGATTTTATTTATTCTGACCCTGCTGATTTTTAGTGTGTTACCCCTGGTCTAGGTGAAGCTTCTGGTATCAGACTAACGCCATCTCTCTTGTCTGTCCCGCAGTAACGGCACGGCCGGGAAGATGAACGGGGCACTGGAGCATTCGGATCAGCCGGACCCGGACGCCATCAAGATGTTTGTGGGTCAGATCCCGCGCTCCTGGTCGGAGAAGGAGCTGAAGGAGCTGTTTGAGCCGTACGGAGCCGTCTACCAGATCAACATCCTCCGAGACCGCAGCCAGAACCCTCCACAGAGCAAAGGTACCGCTCGTCTCGATGTGATGTGATCCGTCTGCTCCATCATGTCTGTATGTCTGCTGTTTGTGTCCATGTTCTCCTCTTCATATCTTCATCTTTCCCTGCACTGGTTGGGTTTTACTCCTCCTCTGGTTACTCCGGACTGAAAACAGTTTTCAGAACGGGGACACAGGTGCAGACAGACACAGAAAAGGCAGATCTTCCAGAGGCTGCTGCTCATTCCAGGATGGTTAATGTCTGAACAGATCTCAGAACCACACCGGCCGGCTCATATTGTTTGGACCATTCGAAGACAAAGACGCGCCCTGCCAGACTTGCAGAGTCAATTGTGCGAAAACTGTGTGATTTGCTGCCATTTTCCCTCCCGTTCCTTCTTTTTTTCCCTCCCTTTGATGAGTTTGTCAAGTGTGAGAGCAAACAATAGAGACGCAGCAACAAATGGGCAGACAATGGCGGCGCCGTATTAACACGCATCAAGCAGAGTGGGCGCTGATGACACTTGTAATGAGACACGCCGAGAGGGAGACTGACAGGAGAGACGTGACGCCTCCATCAGACCCAGAACCTCATCTGAAGTTTCAAAGTGTCTCCAGAGAAGCTGCTGGACCCTTTTCATCACCTGCAGCATCTTGGTTTTATACCTCAGAAAGATTTTAGATTTATAAAACAAGATTTAACGGAAGGACTGGTTTACATTTTACAAGCTTTTTATTTCTTCTAACTTTTGATTTGTTTTTTTTCTATTAAATTTAATTCAGTTTATTTCTATAGCGCCAATTCACATCACACGTCATCTCAAGACACTTTACAGTTTACCACATCATCAGTCAAATTGATTCAAAGTTTTCTATCTAAGGAAAACCAGTTGATTGCATCGACTCATTGACTCGAAGGCAATCCCTCACACTAAGCATGCTTGTAGCGACAGTGGAGAGGAAAAACTCCCTTTTAACAGCAGAGGTTTTTTGAAGCTGTAAAGGATCTGCAAGCTTTATAAACATTAAAAATAGCTTTTTCTTCGTGCCAATGTCCTGCATGCTTAAAATGCAAGCAGAAATGAAAGGAGTTAGAAAGTCTGTAACTGGCACCATGTTTGCGGATGAGGTGATGTTCTGCCAACAACAGAAGGAACATGAACGCATCTTTACATATAGATTTCATCCATATTAAATATGTTATAAATAAAAACTCATCTTCATCGTCTAACCCTGCTTCTTCATCTCATTTACCTACTCAAATTACGTGTAAATTCACTTCATTTAAGATATTTGTACTCATTTCTAGATCATTTTTCCAGTGTATTAAGAAGTAAAATAACTATTAACATAAATATATTAATCGGGTTTCCTTTTATAGTCCTAGTTACCTTTTTAGAGTTTGTAAATGTTTAATAGTTATGTTCAATCATATGGGAAGCAACAAATATTTAGCGAACTTTAGACTTTTGGCTCAACTTGGTTTTCAGGAGTTTATTTTTATGAAAAGTTTTAGATTTTGAAAACATGCTTTTGAAAAAACGTTTTTAAAAAGTGAGTCAGGAAATTGTCTATACACTAAACTGAAAAATTGTTGTTCTCTACTTTTTAAAAAGGAAAAATTATCGATTTTTTATATTTTCTATTTAAAAATTCAACGTATTACATGAATGTATAAACACCTCATTCTATTTCAGTGTTAAATTCTGTTTAAAGTAACAGATTAGAATTATAAATGTCTGCGGACCTTTACTGATGGCTGATTTTCTTTATTCGGACACGGCTGATTTTTAATTGCTTACCTCTGTTATAAGGTGTTAAAATAAAAATGAGGATAAGAAACGGCTGTTAAACTTAGACAAAGATGTTAAAAACCCATGAAATCCTGCAGATGATCACCTGAGGAGGAACAAACTAATTCAGTTTGAATTAAAAACCCAAAAGATAAATAAAAAATGGTCCAAAGATGGGAGAGTTGGTCCAGAACCAACCAGGACTCCCTATTGATTGGTTCTCAGACACCTTTAGGAGAACGCTGATCAGGAACGCCGATGGTTTCTCAGACTGAGACGACATTTTGAAGCCTTAACTAGTTGCCAGCTGGTTAGAGGAGTCCTCCTGGTTCTGATAGTTCATTGGCTCTTCTTTCTGGCCCATTGTAACTGTGAGTCATTGGAGCTCATGAGAGCCTGGAGACAGCGTCCTTCCAGGAATCATCCACTCATCCAGTGTCTCCAATGCGGCCATCGTTATGCACTCTAGATGTGCAAAGTGTTCTGATTGAGCTCTAGCCGGCCTTAGTTTGCACCAGCTCTTCTCTCCCGGCTCACTAAGGCCTCATCTTTAGCAGCTTTTCCTCTCCTGCTCTGCTATGTTCTGCTGTGGGGAACAACACTTCAGCTTTTTGGGACCAAAAAGGCCTCCTGGTTCTGCTCCTAATGACCCAGATACACTTTGTATGTACAGCAGCTGTTTGGAAACATGTTACCTTCACAGCTGCAGCTGTAAAAAGAGAAAAACCTGCAACTCTATTGCTTTTTTTTCTCCTTTGTTTCGTCTGCATCCTCTTTAGTTGATTTCTCTCTAATTCCTAAAAGGAACCAAGGGGCAAACGGAAGAGGAGAACACAACATGAAAAGATCAATACCAGAGAAACTCTCTGAGGAAATTTAGCAGAAAACACAAAATAAAAAATGAAGCTTTGAGAAATAAGGCTTGTTTGCTGGATTAGAAAACAACACGGCTCCTTTTCTAAATCCACTCTCTGAACAGGAGTTAATCTGTTATAATCTGTCATGATAAACAAGAGAATTGTTGTGAATGTCAGTGTTATTTTTCTGAAAAATGATGACTGTGACCTAAAGTTTTCCTCCAGCTGATGAAACGCTGCCGAGGAAAACGCTTAGATGCGTTTGGTTTTAGAAACCTGAACCTGTGAACATGGAAATCTGACCCATCTGTCACTAAAAGGGCTTCATGCATCCAACCAAGAATCAGGAAGCCATAAAAGGTTTCTAATTTAATTCAATTCAGTTTATCTATAGTGCCAATTCACAACACATGTCATCTCAAGAAACTTTGCAGTTCACCAGATCATCCAGTCTGGGAGCAGAACGTTGAGATTGAACTAACAGATTCTGCAGAGTGGGAGAATAGAGATAGAATGAAGCAGAATGATGAAAAAGGGGTCCCTATGTCCTCCAGCAGTCTAAGTCTATAGCAGCATAACTATAGAGATAGCTCAGGATAACCTGAGCCACTCTAGCTAGAAGCTTTATCAAAAAGGAAAGTTTTAAGCCTAGCCTTAAAAGTAGACAGGGTGTCTGCCTCACAGACTAAACCTAACAATGATAAACATCAAGATTAAACTGTAAAATGAAAGAAATTATGATATAATCATACTGTAGATGATCAGGTAATGCATCTATGCTGATGATAGTCAGGTCTATTTCTGATAATGAAGCTTAAATGGACAAACTTCCCTCTAATTTCCCCAAATTGTGATCTTTTATTTGAAAAAAGAATCCACCCAGTTTGATTCCTTTTAACTGAAGCTTTTAAAATCACATTTTCTTTTGAGATCTTTAGTCACATTAACTCCGGCGATAAATAAACATACTTACACCTTTAATCTTCCTAATTACATCAGATCTATTTTACCTCTTTAGTTTTCATTATTAACCACAGACAGACAGATTATTTCAACAATAATGAAAAACAGGTTTGAAGATCAGAGGCTGAAGGAAGCAGGATTAAAATCTATCAAATCGTACTGAAGTTTGTTTTATTTATTTTTCTCCTCTTGGTGAAATTAGCCCCATCTTGATAAATCTTTCCAGCTGTTGGTATAAGAAGCTCAGTTTGAATGAAATCCAAGCTGACTGCTCCTGCTGACGGTGGCTCATCTTTAAGACAGAAACAACAACATGAAAATATGTTCAAATAGTTCAGAATTGGACGTTTGCTCTGGTTTCATCAGGGTGAAATCACCTGCTCATCCCCTTCCTGCACAGGGGGGGAATATCTCCACCTGTTTCTGTCAGGGATCGTCTCTTTAATCAGCTATTGACATGAAATCTCTACCAGATGTTTAACAATTCAGCTCCAGTACATAAATGAATGGATGGCTTCAGATCTCAGGATGAGTGAAGCCGGACCTCCTCCAGGTCGTCTCGTTCTGATGGGTGCTTTGATCTCTGACCTCTATACGCTCCAACCTTTGGCGATATGCCGTAGTTCAGGGACGGGGCGTCGCAATGTTTACAATCAGAGCTGAAAGGTCACGCCAAAAGTCCATCCAAGATACCAAGATCCAGATACCTTAGGTTTAGCGTCCTCATCCATCGAGGTCAGGATTCGAGTTAGCCCTCAGAGGAGGAGGGGGAAATAAAAGGGATTAAATTAGCTTTAGGTTTAAAGTTTCCTCCAAAACTTCAACTGTGAACATTTGAAAATGTTTGAAAAACTCCGCCTCTCGACGTAGGCTGATCGAGGTCGGGTTCACGTCTCTCGTGACCCCGCTTGGGATAAGCGTGCAGAAAATGGATGCATGAAAAAACTTTATTGACATAAAGATGGACGAACAATTAAACAAACAGTGTTTAAACAGCAGATGGTTAATTTACGTAAAAAGGCTGGAAATTAGATTAGAAAAAACAGGGTTTAGACAGGAATGTGTAACTCTTATTTAATGCTATTTTAATGCTCTTCCCCCATCAACAAGTACTCATGGCTATCATATATACACGCCAAAATCCTCTGTCATCTTTACTGTCGACAGGTTGCAGCCATGTCCCGAATTTCTTGTTTCTAGCAAGTTTTGTTGAAAATTGCAATTTCCCATTCTCTAGCTTTTTCTCCGTCTCGAGCTTCTTTCCTGGACTTACGACTTTACGATCAAGCGGAGGCAGTTCTGCTCAAATATATTGCGATAAATTGTATTTATATACTTTTTTTTTTTTTATTAAAGCATTTTAAATGCTAATCGATAATCACATTTGATGAATTTTAATGCCAATTAAGGCCTTA